GGGGATCGACTGATACTCCCAGGGAGGAATCGTAGGAAGTGTGTTGCAGAGGAAAGCACAGCAGCTCCCGGCATTAATGATCCTGATCCCTAAAGAGTCCCAGGAGCCGCCCCCAGCTCAGTGAATCAGGGCTCTGTCAGCACGAGTCGCTGTACAAAACCCTTCAGGATAGCACGCATTTCTCTGTATTCCTACATGTTCTATTTTTTTCCCCTCGATTCACTTTCTGAAGGCAACTTTATAGTAACTTTTAAGTTAACAGTATAAGTTATTGTATTGCCAGCATAATTTTTGCTGCATAAGGTATTTTAAGATTATTAAACTAAAACATAATACAGTAAGATACATTATGGTACCCCTTCTGTCTGCCTTTAGAAAGTCCCTTAAAATAGTATTTATTACGTGTTTATGTGTATACCTGCACATTTCATCTTTATCCATATTTCATTCAAAAAGGTGACTCATTGCCCGGCCAGTGTGGTGCAGTGGATTGAGCCTCATCTCACGCATCATGAGATCACTGGTTCGATTCCCATCGGGGCACATGCTCGCGTTTTGGGCTCGGTCCCCAGTAGGGGGACTGTAGGAGGTAGCCGATTGATGTGTCTCTCTCACATCAATGGTTCTGTCTTTCTTCCTCTCCCTCTTCCTTCCTCTTCCTCTAAATCAATAAAACATATTTTTTTAAAATTGATTCATTTAGCTAATCCTATGAAAAGAGTGCAAAATATAATTTGAGCCACTCTATATACTTTCTAGCTTAAATGGTATAAAAAAAAAAAATTCCACTACCACGATCTCATGTTCACAGGGCTGTGAGAATTACTACATAAGCAGTAAGGAAAGTAATGAATAACATGTGCAGAAACTACAGCCAAAATAATATCTGAAAGCATACTGCACTCAGTGCACTGCTAGGGCGTATCGCACAGGACCACCCTCTGTTTGAGCAGCCACAGGGAAGAAACCCGGACCTTACGCACACACTGGATGTGGAGTCTTTTTCTATCGAGGCTCTTACTTCTCCTGGAGAGTAAAGAGCAACAGCAGAGGAGAACTGTGAATACAGACCCATAGTGGTAAAAAAAATATCTAGGGCAGAGCACAGTGCTACTATGATGTTTCTGGATGATACATTGGGACACTATTGGTATTTGTAAAATTAAGGTTTAGATATGTTCAACCATGGATGAGTGGGTTTTGATAGACATTTGGAAGCATTAACTTGTGTGGTGAGGTTGTGCTAGACCAGCAGTTTTCAACCGGGGTGCCACAAGAATTTTTAAAACATGCAATGCCTGACTATTTCATCAGGGGCACTGATCTCTTTTCCCTTAAATCCCCCCCTCCCCCAATCTCAAAAAATAATAGCCAACTCAACAATAGCCATTGGTGTGAATGAATCTAAATTATACCCTTTTTTGCCAGATAGGCAAAAGATAGATATTTTTGGTGTGCCGCAGAATTTTTAGTAATTTGTGTATGTGTGCCATGATATGAAAAATGTTGCAAGTCACCATTCTAGACTATTATGGACATTGTACACATGTAGACACAAGTGTACAAAAGTCAAGAAAATAAATAAACTCTAGTGAGTGAAGTATATGGCCTTTTATGAAGTAGGAATAAAACCATAGGAGGGACTATATTGTGGATAATTTTTAATATGTGCTGGTGCTTTTATCTGCCATGAGCTTTCCTTATCAAATTCTAATTCATCAAGGAAGCCTCTTGCAGCCCAAGCTAATTTCTGCATCCTCTACAGAAATTACCAAGTACTGGTCATCTGTCAAAAGCTTTATGCTACACTCACTTTTATTGTCTTGTCCTTGGCTTTGCTATTTTCTTCCTATGCTACTTCTTAAAGTACTCATCCTTTAGTTAAACATGTTGTAGGTCTTAGAAATAATAATCTAGTCAAAAGAAAAACAGGTATAATGCTCGAGAGAGATGTTTTTGAGTTGCTAAAAACTTTACTGTTGGACTTGGGGTGGTAATGCCATAAACGTGGGTAAAGGGCATCATTATGTTCTAGTCTTCACATGAATGAAGCCAACCGTGGGTTATGCCTTGTAAGGGAGGTGTCTGCTACCAAAGGATGCAGAATTTTAGGCAGCTGATCCCAGGTTAGATTCTGATCAAGGGCATATACCTTGGTTGTGGACACATCCCTGGTTGGAGGTGTGCAGGAGGCAACTGATCTATGTCTCTCTCATCGATGTTTCTGACTCTCTATCCCTCTTTCTTCCTCTCTATAAAAAATCAATAATATATATATATATATATATATATATATATATATATATATATATATATACATACACACACACACACACACACACACACACACATACATACACAATATATATATATATAGCTTTCATATAGCAACCTTTTACCGAGTCCCTATTCAGGATCAGCACTAGGAATACAAAGACAAGGAGACAGGTTCACTCTGCAAGCAACTCCCAGCCTGATGCAATGATTCTCACCCTTGAAATAAAACTCAGCGTGGCTCTGGCTTTTGAATGAAGCCTTTCTGAAGGGCAGTGGGCCTCCTGGAAGTATATATTGGTGCCGAGTATCCACTACTAGGAATGTTTCCTAAAGAAATAATCAGGAAAATGTGCAAAATGTTGAGTCTTTCAGAGTAATGATCTTCATTTTTAGGTGGAATAATAAATGATTTACCAGATGTTCCAGCAGATATTATGAGGCACCTCCTCCACTTGACCTTGATAAAAAATTTAGCTATGAGTTGCTTTTCTTGTCCAACATTGTGTGATAGTTGTTAGTGTTTAATCGCAATCTTCACTGTTGACTGAGCCAGTTCTCTGTTTAGTTTTCCTTTCTTCTTAGTCGCCAAGACAGTATTCATAATATATTAAGTTCATTACACTGACGCATTCTGTCTTTGAACCCTGCTGTAATAGCTGTGGGGTTTATTTCTTAAGTGGCTTTTAAAAGTCTGTGATAAGATAATCTGAAGTTAATACCAAAAATGATTTTAGTAAGGGTGCTGCTGTTCTCTGTCCCCGACCCCATGGTTCTGCAGGAAGTCACTTGAGTCTCCTTGGCCATTAGTCAGTACCAGGTGTACAAGTTAATAATTCCAATTTTATAATCAAAGAAAACAAGATAACTTCAAGAGAAATATCAAAAGTGCTTTATTCAAAGTAATGTACATCGATAGCTACACATTTCCCCCATCTTTCAGGTAATTTGTGGATACCCAATAGAACTTTTCTTCTTTTGAGGCAAACCATTCAGAGACCCAATTTTCCACTTCTTTGTATGTTTTGAAGTGCTGCTCAGAAAGTGTGTGTGCCATCGATCAGAACAAGTGGTAATCTGAAGGAGAAAGGTCTGGTGAATACAGTGGGTGGGTTAATACTTCCCAGGCAAGATCTTTTAGAGTGTCTTTAACTCCTTTTAAGTGTGTGATGGTATGTCATCATGAAACAAAATTACTTTGCCGTGTCTCCTGGCCCATTCTGTTTGTTTCAAGATCAAAGCGTGGTTCAAATTGATTATTTGTTGTTGGTAGCGATGAGTATTAATGGTTCACCTGGTTTTAGAAGTTCATAATACACCACACCTTCCTGATCCCACCAAAAGCAGAGCATTGTCTTCTTTCTAAAGGGATTTGGCCTTGCAGTTGATGTTGATGGTTGACCTGATCAATCCATGATTTTTGTGCATTTGGGATTTTCAAAATAAATCCACTTTTCATCACCAGTCACAATTCGATGCAAAAAAGTCTTTCATGCCATTAAAGCAACATTTTATTGATGACATATTGGTTTTCCATTTGTCTTTCATTCACTTGATGTGGCACCCATTTTCCTTCCTTTAAAATCTTTCCCATTGCTTGTAAGTGATCGAAAATTGTTTGCTGAGCAACATTTAATCTTTCTGCAAGTTGTTTTTGAGTTTGATATGCATCTTCATCCAATAATGTTTGTAATTATTGGTCTTCAAACTTTTTGGTTGACCTGGCCATTCTTTGTCTTTCACATTGAAATCATTACTTTTAAAGCATTTAAACCAGCATTCACAAGTGTCTTGAGATGGAGCATGTTCACCATAAACTTCCCAAATTATATGATAATTTTCAGCGGCACTTTTCTTCAAAATAAAGTAATGAATTAAAACTTCCCACAAATGCTTTTTTTGGGGGGCACTAAATTCAATATTTTTAATCATAAAAATATCTATGATGTTAACACTTTCAGCAAATTTGACATATGAAGTTTTGAAGCTTGCTGTTAATACAACAAAATAGCATACATATCAAATCACATATATATCAACATATGTGTAACTCCATCTAGTGAAAAAAAAATCTGTATTATTAACCTGTACATCTGGTAGCTTTGGAAGAAAATTGAGGCACAGTAGCTATGCAACCAATGTTTGGTATTCACTTTGGTTGATTCACCATGGTTAGCCAATGCCCTACTGTTAACTTAAGTAGATTTTTGAGTTGTTTTAAATGTCTATTATACTGTCTAAGTTCACCTTTGGGTGGCTCAAAACTTTTGTTCTCCAGAAATAGTACAGGTTTTAATAAGTATTTGGACTATAGTTAACAGCCATCCTGACCTTTTTCGTTCACAGTGAAAACTTAGAAATGCTGATGTCATTTGTTAGGAAGTAATGCATTTCTGAACTCAAATGTTATTTCTTTAACAAGTTAATGTGCACTTGTTAAAGAAATAAACTAGTCCTGGTAAACTGGTAAACTAGTGCTTAACAAGGTTTCATAGCTTCTGTTTAACTCCTACAGATTTGCTTCCAAGACTTTCGTTTTCTCTTTTCTCTTGAGTTGGCAACCAAATTAACAGAGTCAAACATTTGCAAGCCTAATACTTGTCCGTAATGGTTCTTCATAGAACTACATACTCACTTGCTCTTATCCTTCAAGACAATTGACATTTTAAAATTCTTTTTTTTCCTTCCAGAAAACAGAGTTAATTGGTCATTTGTTCTAATTTAAGGGTTTCTCCCCTTCAAAAATCTGAAGTTGTGGAGATGGTTAAGAAACAAGTCAAAGTGATAACACTTGCGATTGGTGATGGAGCCAATGATGTCAGCATGATCCAGACGGCACATGTCGGCGTGGGTATAAGCGGGAATGAAGGCCTTCAGGCAGCGAATTCTTCTGATTACTCCATCGCGCAGGTGATGATCATTTCTGCAGTCTCATCCTTCATCTCAATCAGCTGACACTAGGAAAAGGGCAATAACTAATTCTTTTTTCCACTCTTATTCTAGTTCAAGTATTTGAAGAATTTATTGATGGTCCATGGTGCCTGGAACTATAACAGAGTCTCCAAGTGCATTTTATACTGCTTCTACAAGAATATAGTCCTCTATATTATCGAGGTAATAGCCGGTTAACTTTTAAATCCTTGTCAATTGCATAGATATGTAAAGACATTTTCTTTATGAAGACATGTTCCCATTTTAATTAATCTATTCATCTACTTTGTATAACTTCTAAACAAGTTGAAACAAAAAGTTTGTCAGCCCTAGAGAATAATTCGTGTTGAAATTCTGGCTGAAAAAGGTATATTGCTTTGGTAAGAAATGTTGAATTAGACTTGCTAATGAAATGGTGTTTTCGGTTTTAAAAAGATTGCAAACTATAGAGTTTTTTATGAAGCTCGAAAACATACAAGAGAAAACAATACACTATTTAGGGATATGCACGTGGAGACTGTATTTTAAAAGACAGTGAAGGGAATGATAGACATAAAACTGAGGAGAGCAGTTCTGGTGTTGGGGATAGTGGTTAAAGAAGCAGAAGCAGGAAGGATATGTAGGCAGTTTTGCTAATATTGGCCATCTTATAGTTCTTATTATGTTTCAAACTTAGATATTTATATACAAGCATCCCTTGCTACCCAGATATGTTTTTGTTTCTGAGTTTGGTTGGTAGCAGGAGTTTAGATAATGAGGAATGAGTCTAAGAACTATCAGAATATTTAGTTCCTGTGTCTGGACAGCAAGAAATTCCAAATTCCTTTCCGTATATCAAATATAACACCATTTTGGGGGGAGTCAGGAGAGGGACAAACATTTTGTCTGTAAAATCATTTTTTAAAGGAAAACTTAACCTGAGTCAGAAATATCACTTCTAAAGCATTGTATTTTGTCCAACAGTTTCACAGCGCCTACTGGGTGCCAGGCCCCAGGCTTTGTTCAGGGTTTTTCCTGTCCTCCACCCAGGAGCTTGCCGACAGGAATAACAATGCCAGCCCCCTGTGCAATTCTGGAAGCCACATGAGCAACACGTAAAAATTAAAGCCCACCTTCACTTTTAAATGATATTTAAGTCAATATATTCAGTATTACCATTTCAACATATAATCACCTTAAAATTTTTTAATGTGACATTTACATTCTTTTCTTCATACTAAGTCTTCAACTCCGGGTGGCTATCAGTGGCTACCACAGTGGACAGCAAAGCGCCCGTGCAAAAATGGAACTGAACGGTCCATCAGGAAGTGATAGATACATCATTTACCTCTCATTCACATTTGGCCATTTGGCCATCAGAAGCTACATTTATAAAACACACTCTAGATGTTATCGTTTCTTGCTCCTCCTGCAGCTTCGCAGAGCATGAAGATAAGTTCTCCATAGCTCGTTAAGAAAGCCCTCCGTCTGCCCCTCCTGAGAGGACCCACCTTCGCCCTCACAAATATGCCCAGAGCTTCCTTACAGATGTTTGTTTATGCCAATTTGACCTCTAACTTGCTGGCTGACCCTCCACAGCTGTCAGGAGATACACAACCCCAACCAATGTTGCTCAGTGATTGTTAGCAAAAGAGGTCACAGTTTGATTCCTGATCAGGGCACATGCACAGGTTGTGGTCTTGATCCCGAGTGGGGAGCGTGCAGGAGGCAGCCAATCAATGATTCTCTCCCATCATTAATGTTTCTATCTCTCTCCCTCTCCCTTCCTCTCTGAAATCAATAAAAATATATTTTTTAAGAAATAATATCCCATGCTTTACACCAGAGGAGTAACACTGTAAACAAAACAAAAATCTAAACTTTACACTTACCCTATTGGCAGGTTAGCTGGGAACTGCTGTGTGTTTGGTTCAGCTGTTCTTTATGCCTCTGTAAGAATGCTTGTCTCCTTATTAAAATGTTGACTTAACATAGTTCTTATTATAAGTTAGCTGGTAAAACTGAAACTTAGTTTTCAAGTGTGCAGGCAGTTTTATTTATTGGTCACTAAAAAACACACCTCTAAAATTGCTTATGAAATCCAAAATATATATATTTTTTTAATATATTTTATTGATTTTTTTTTTTTTTACAGAGAGGAAGAGAGAGGGATAGAGAGTTAGAAACATCGATGAGAGAGAATCATTTATCAGCTGCCTCCTGCACACCCCCCACTGAGGATGTGCCTGCAACCAAGGTACATGCCCTAGACCGAAATCTAACCTGGGACCTTTCAGTCCACAGGCGGACACTCTATCCACTGAGCCAAACCGGTTTTGGCCCAAAAAATATATAGATTTTTTTTTATTGTATATATAAAGTTGTGATTTTTTTTCTAAAATAATTATTTATGACTAGGAACCCCAACCACCCACCACCCTGCCTTGAGACTCAAACATCTCCCTGCAGAACTCCAGGGCACCTGACCCAGCGCTCCCTTCCCCACCCCTCTGGCCTTCTCTGGCCGCTTCAAGCCCCACCCTCAGTCCTTCAAGTCACCTTGGTCTGGTCTCGCCTTTTCTGGGTGCCTCCTGCTTCTGCCCTGTCTCCAGAGCACCCTCAGGCAGCCTCCTGTGATCTGTCCTACGTTATGGCGTCCCAACCATTAGCATATTAGCTCCTATTATTATGATGATTACCAGTATCCTCTATAGTTACTAGCTTTTCTAATTATATTTTTCTCATTCAAAATAATATCAACTTACATAGTTTATTTACATATAATTTTTGAAAATACTAGGAGTTGAAAGCCATTGGTAGCAAAAAATCTGCTTTAAAATTTTTATTTTTATTTTTTTAATCTAGATCATTTGACAATCAGTAAAGCAGGTAAAACTTCTGTATTAATAGGGGAAACAAAATATATTAAACTCAAATGGAAAACAAAATCTGTAATTTCTGATTCATCCAGAGTTATACAATTTGTGTTTGATTAGCCCTAAATTTCACTTGGCTTTGAGTTTAAAGCCTCTTCATGAAATATTTAGCACGGACGAAATTCTCTCAATACAGAACAGGAAGTAAGTCCTAATGTGGGGTATTGAACTATGCAGTAGTGTATTATAGAATTATATACCTTAAACCTATATAATTTTACTAACCAATGTAACCCCAGTAAATTCAATTAAAAAAAAAAAAAAAAAGGAAGTAACATTCTAAACTTTCCTGGAAATCTCATTTAAGTTATTTTTCTTTGAGCACTTTATGAAAATGTATTTTGAATATAATTCCACTATCTTGGGAAACAAATTGACCTTTTCAATCAATTCCCAGATACCAAAGGTTTGCCAGCTAAAACAAGTTCTGCAGATGTTAATGGCTCATGTCAATACTGTGAGTGAATAGACAGAAAACACATCGTTGAATGTCTCTAGTGAGGACAACTGCCAGTCTCCACTCTCTCCTTTCAGTGTTTTGTGCTGATGAGGCGTGGGAGCAGAGGACTCACAGTTTGTAAGCTGCTGTTTAACATGCAAAAAGGCTCCATGGGGGGGAGTCTGTGCTTCAGCTGCCACGCCTCTGCTGGGACGTGGAACTTAGAAAAGAATTCCAGGAGAGGCAGGTCTGGAGTGTCTTTGCTAATGAAGGAATAGTCTGGAGCTCTATGAGTTTTATAGATTATCTGCGAAAACCGCTTCCCCCATTGCTGCAGTGCCAGCAATGCCACTCTCTAGCCTCTCGTTGCCATCAGCCTCAGCCAAACAAACAAATACAGATTTGGCAGGTGGCGGTCTATAGCACTTACTGATGGTGGCCACTTGCAGGGCCTAGGTGTTCACTGAAATCTTTCTAAAGAGATGTTTGTGAAATTTCTTAGACATCTGACTCCTTCCTACCAAGATAAGAACTTTTCTTTCCATTGGTTGCATCCAGGTGTTCTGGTAAGATCCCAAAACAATGTGGTGTTTCTAATTTACAGAAACTCTGAGTGAAGTCAGTGAGGTGATGTTTTCCCTGTGCGCTGTGCTGGCACGTGGCTTTCCTGAGAACTTAAATAATTTAGATGCCTCCCCAGAGGAACCGATGTTTTCTTTCTGCACCTGGTTTGGGTTGAGTCAAAGGAGGGACTTTTATATATCTATAATGTAGGTGTTGTTCTTAATGTGAGAGACATTTCTAAGTTATCTTTTAACTACCAACCTCACTAACTTGAATTCAGCCTTATAGTAAACTTCTCTTTCTCTTTGAATGCCAGAATATTTGTCTGAATGTATCTAGAGTTATTCTCTTATCTAGTCATTTCTCCTTTTTTTAAAAAAAAAAAAGGAATTAGAATACTAACTTTTTTAAAATGCAAGAAGAAAATTTCTAAAAACCTTTATATCTTTCAGTAGGAAAAATAAAAAGGTAAAAGTTCATACCTATCCATTTTAAAATGTCTGTCATAAAGCAGTAAATTCATGCATTTTAAAAATAAACTTTGAATCCAGAGATGTGGATTTATTTGCATATTATTTGAAATTTGAAACCTTTCCTAGATGAAGGGAGGTTCTTAAATTCCAAGCTTATACCAGAACATTTGAATCAGCATCTCATGTTCTATACAAAGAAACTAGGAGACTAGTCACATTTACAAATGTTGACTTACACACAATAAGTTTATTCATACACATTTCTCTTATTATTCAGTGATAATGATTGCATTTATAACCATAACCTTTGAACTGATTCATTATCCATTACACAAATTTGGTATGCATGTCTCTTGGGCTTTCTTCAGACCAAAAATGATTAGACTGCATCTTCATAGACTAGTGAGGCCATAATTGAAAGTTTGGGTTTAATAATTCCTTAAATTTCCATCGTACCCTAGGAAACCTGAAAGAGCTTGTTTGTAGGTAGCATCACGGTAGAGCACAGTTACCTTCAAAGAGGACATTACCTTCATCCAGAGCACATGTGTCAAACACAAGGCCCGCGGGCCAAATCCGTCCCGCCAGGCCTTGCAATGTGGCCCGCACCACGCTGTCATCACTGCACTCCGCTGCGTTTCCATCACAATGACAGTTTATGACTGTTCAGTAAACCATTCGGCCCGCGATTTAGGCTGGATTTTAGATTTTGGCCCCTTCTCTGATTGAGTTCAACACCCCTAATCCAGAGCATCACTTAGTCCACATCTCACAGAGGTCAACTGTGAAAACGAAAGAGCAAGCGTTGAAGTCTGTCTTGACGATTTGTGTATGCTTAACACTTAAAAAAAAATTTTTTTTTTAAAGGGATGTCAGCAGCACCACCCTAAGGAATAAACTTCAGAAAACTTAGCATGTACAAGTGAATGCTCTGGCTCCTTGTTTAGGACAGATATTCAATTTTTTTTCCTGTAAATATATGTGGCAAAGCAAGCAACAATTTCAGACTTGATTCCAGTTTCTATGCTTTTGTTGTTGTTATTGTTAATGTGTGTACAACTCTGACACAATTTGGACTGATTTGTCACATGCTATTACCACTTTGTGTTCTTTTTCATCTCCTGGAGGAAACATTTATTTTTTTCTCCTCCTTTCCACTCTAAAGAGGAAAACAATCAGTGTGGGTGCAGAAAGCGTTCATTGTGGGGGTCGGCCTCAGTGCTTATTGATGAATGGTGAATTTGTAGCAATCCATGCTTCCAGAATGATGTTAAATGAAACGTGAAGTGTAGCCAAGTCCCAGCAGCTCCGATTCAAACATTCGCTTGCCGGGCAGGTCAAGCCTGCTTTCCTCTAACGGGTTTTTTTGGTGGTGTTTTGCTTTTGTGTTTGTGTTTATGTAATCTCATTGCTGGGCCGGACGTTTCATTCTCCCAGATCAACATGATGCTAATTACATTTTAAGTAATGGAGGAGTTATTGATTTACTAATAGCACTCTCAGTTATCATCTGTCTTACACATGTTGGATAACATTTTTCTCTCTTGCCCCTTAATTTTATAGCCGACAATCAAGGTTTCTATTTTTAAAAGAATTGTAAAATATGGAAGGACATTATGCTCTGTTAGTTAAAGATATTTTTTTATCAAAGCATAAATTTAAGTTATGAAATATTTTTATATATAAATTCAGATTTCATATTCTGACGGCTGTAACTATCAAAAACTATTTTAAAAGTGTCTATAGTCCTAAGCTGTTTGGAACCATCTTTGACTTAAATAACAGATGCCTTGTGAGGGCATCCCTTCAAATTATAAAGTAAAGCAAAGAAACACCATTTTCAAGAAAGCCATGAAAGCATCGTGGTATTATGCAGTGGCTGAGTACACAACAGATTCTGCACAATGTGCTTATTTTTGTGTGTCCTAATTTTGGGGGTTTTTGTTTTCTTTCTAGATCTGGTTCGCCTTCGTTAATGGCTTTTCTGGACAGATCCTCTTCGAGAGGTGGTGTATAGGTCTTTATAACGTGGTAAGTCTGACACATTTGGTTTTCCCTGTTTCGTTGAATGCTTTAGAATAAAGGCCCACCTGCCTTTGGCCGCTTGGAGTAATACCCGTTTGTGTGCTTCAGATGTTCACAGCGATGCCTCCCTTAACGCTGGGCATATTTGAGAGATCGTGCAGGAAAGAGAATATGTTGAAGTATCCTGAGTTATATAAAACGTCTCAGAACGCCCTGGACTTCAACACCAAGGTAGGCTATGACATCCTGCCACATATTTTTTGGGGGGGAGGTGGGAAGAGGGGGAAGAAGGAGGGTGCTTTACTGCTCTAATTACTTAGGGCATCTGGTCTCCCAGAACCAGGGTGTCGACCGTGGTGCGTCAGGCTTACCTAAGCTTCTGATATGGGCTGACAAGGTTTTGGTTTGTGTTGTTATCATTTAAATGTAGCCACGATTCACTGGGACTTGCCAGGCAAAAGGGACTGGGTCTGGCAGACAGACTGCAGGTCCCTTTGGCCCCCTGAATGCCAGTCTCTGCAGCCGTGCCCTTCACAGAGGTCGGTCCCCCAAGACTGAGCAGGACTTTGTCACATGTGTGAAGAGGTGAGGGGCGGGGGAGCCTTCTCTACGAATGACCTGTTTTGTGAACTAACTTTGTCCTCTATAGAGTATTAGATTGTTTGCATGGAACATTACAAATTATAGTCTCGGGGGGGGGGACACCTCAGTCATAACAGTATTTCCAAGCCATAAAAAATTAAAATTCAAGATAAAATAGCCAGCATTTTATATAAAATCATATTCTGGGTTTTTATCCTGCATAGCATGGTATGAAGTATTGTCATCTCTTGTGCCCCCTGGTTGTTTATCCATCTCAACCACAAAAACAGCTCATTTTCTGCAGTTTCCTTCTGGGCAAGTATATGTTCTCAAGTATTGCCAGTGGTATTTTCTAGGAGCTCTAGTTTTGGTTTAGTGTGAGGACTGTTTTTTTCTAACAGTCAATTAGATGTCGTTTTGAAACAATAATAAAAGTAGCAGAATTTTTCTCGTTTCATAGCGTACATGTCTATTAGCATGTTACTGCTAATTAGATGTACGTAACCTAGGTTGGGTGTTTTGACTTCAGGACAGTGAGTGTAGGAAACCTTAAATATTTTTGAAGCTCTCCAATGACAGTTCTTCTGAGTACACCAGGAAAATAAAACAGGACAGGTGTTTCCGCGCCTCTGACCTCACACCATAAATGTTAGCGCTGAGTTTATAGCCCGGATGTTGCTCATCTTCTGAGCTGAGGTCCTCGTGGATGCACTGTGCATGCACGGGCAGGTGTGCCTGTACGTACAACTTGATGGCATTATTTCAAATAACTGCATTTGGTTAATTTTTTTTTTAAATGAAAGAGTTTTTGGACTTAATACCATTAGTTCCAGAAAGTATTTTTAGTAGCCTCTTAAAACTATTCCGATTTGTGATATGAAATGTCTATGCCTTTATTTTTGAATGTTTTCTTCTTGGCTTTTTTAAAAACTTATTTGTGATATCCAGTTTGTCTTAAATTCCACCACCTTGCTGTAACGTTCATTACCTGTAGTGGATATTTTCAAGTCAGCAGCCACCATGCCCCACGAGCTCTTGTTTCCCTGAAGAATTTATCTGAGAGCGAGGCATGTTCAGACATACTGACACACTAACCATAAAGCTTAGGGACCTAGACTCATGTATCAACCTCAGCCACGGGCCCCCAAACAACCATGGCTCAGCCACCACCGTGCTCTCCCCAGAGTTAACTTCTCAGCCACACACTTGGCTGTGGTACTGTTGCTTTAAACATACATTCCACAGGATTACCCAAAGCCATTCCTGAACAGCCACATCCTCACCTGCCCTTTGCATCATCGCATTTTTGTGGCCAGGGGTAAGGTGTACCAGGTAGAATAGTTTTAATGTGGATGCATCGTTCCTTGCAAACTTTTTTTTTTTTTTTTTTTTTGGTCGTTTGCAAACTATTTCATTATCTGCAGAACCCATGCATTTCAAAAAGTCTTCAGAGCAACCCAAATAGATTTTACAGGGGCGGGCCAAAGTAGGTCTCCCATTGTGAGTACATGAAAGACAAATACTATATTATTTTATTATTTGTCTTCTTCCCTATGAACAGCTGTAAACCTACCTTTGCCCATCCTTGGACTTCTGTATTCTATTTGAGAATTTATACATACCTGAACTGCACAGCATTTTTCTGTAGGGAGGGTGGATGGATTTTTCTAATGATTTCAGTGACAATTCTTTGATTAAATCCCATGGAAGTGCTTTAAAATTCAGGGGCAAGTGGCCACAGAATGCATACTTGTGTGCACAGCGGTTGCCGCGGGTCCCAGTGTGGCAGCATTGTTGCCCTGAATGACAACGATCACGTTTGTTATGGTAAAAAGGGTCGGAGGTGCTGAGGTCAGGCCCGGGGTTAAAGGATTAGCGTGTGACAATAAGTAGCGGTCAGGAAAATGGAAAAGTAGAACTAATTTTTCTTGCACCCACCTGTGCTTTCTGTCAAATGAAAACGTGCGGTGATGACATAGTGAGGAGAGGAGACAAAGGTTAATGAGGAACACAAGTTCAAATGTGTAATGTATTGGAGCGTAAATTGGATCATACAACCCAGGGTGGCTGCGTGAACCAACAAAGGAGGTTGAAATCACAGTGGAACATTTTGGGAGGCAGGCAACTTAATTTCTGTTGTTTGAACAGCTTAAAACTATTAATACACGACAATTTTATTTAGCAGACCCGGTGGGCAAGAATCACTTTTTAAATGACAAACTGCAATTGTTCGAAGGGCCATAAGAATTCTAAACAGTTTTCTAGAATTTAATTTTGCCTAGCCATTGTTTCAAAGAGCATGCCAGCAATACTAGCTCTCTTGTTCTTCTTAAAATACAATTGATGTACAAAATAATAAACTATCAAATGATATTATAACTGTAGAAAGTTTGATGTTGATGGGTATTAAAAATTGTGAGAAGCTTTTTATGAATTCAGTTATATGGACAATGCTTTACTCAAAGGAATTATACAATTTAAATGTAATACCTGCTAGTTTTAGTATATAATATGTGTGTGTGTGTGTATGTGTGTGTATAAATGCCTAAATATGGAGAGAGAATATGAATGCATAGAAAAGTTTACATTTTTATTGCACGTGGGCAAGAGAAAGTAAGGATTTGACCAAATTACAATCTTTCCAAAACTCCTTTCTTCTGCAATTATGAATACAGGTCCTCCTCAAAAGAATGTCAGGATCTGCATTACTTTAAATTTTTCTTTTCTTTTTTCAGGCAGAAATGTAAACTTTTCATACTTGGTTTTAAAAGGTACGAAAAAAATTCCAGCGGAGCTGCAGAAAACATTTTGAGAAACATAAAAATAAATAAATGACCCATGAAGGTCTAAGAGGCAGAAAGTGTCTGCCAGTTCTATTAATTCACAGCGGTGGCCAGACAGAGCCACGTTTTGTGAATCGAGCCCACAGATAAAGAGAGAGGTCAGAGTTCACACAGCTAGTTTATCACAAATGGTTCTCATGGATTTTTGTTTTCCCGCAGGTTTTCTGGGTTCATTGTTTAAATGGCCTCTTCCACTCAGTTATTCTGTTTTGGTTTCCACTAAAAGCCCTTCAGTATGGTAAGTAGAAAGGATACGAATGCTAATAAATGACTTCTTACTTTGTTTTTTTTTTAGAAAACTAATTCATTGTCAATATATGTTAAAACTCACAGCCATTTCATTCTGTGGTATTCCTTCACCTAAAATACATGCGTCCGAAAGTCGCCCACACTTTTAAAGAGTTTTATTATTCCTTTGGGAGAAAGTGATTTAATATATGCAAAGCCTTTCTTCTCGACTTTTTCTCATGTTTTCCCAACTTGCAGAGAATTAAATTTTAGGGCTCTTTTTGTCCTCTGCTGATGCATTGTTTGGAGACAATGGCGCTAATATTTTATGTAGTCTGTTTATTATACCTACGGGGCCTGTAGCAAGCTCTTTATGCTGTGCCTAATCAGACATGCTAGTATTTCTAAGCAGACGTGAGCCGATGTCCTGAATGAGAGTTTTAATCTGTCTTTACGTTCAGCTTGGAGGGTAAGCTTTTTCCTCTGCATGTTTTGAGGAAGTGAAGTTATTCTGTCAGCTTTGAGAAATGGGATCATGGTGAATTTCCTATAGGCATAAAAATGATGAAGTGGCCACTTTAGAAAAGAGATCCCGGCGCTGCTTACGCAGGAGCTGCCTTGGGATCCCGAGGAAGGCAGCCGGCCATTCGGTGCCTATGCCCCCCAAACTAGTCATTAAAACGCCACCCAGGGGGTCCTCAGTCCCTTGGAATATACAGGCCGTACCTCGCTGGCGGTGAGGAGTGAGTGAGTGATTGCCAACAGAAGAGGGCTGGCCCTGTGTCCTCACTCACCTACAGTCTGTCCTCCTCCGGCAGCCGGCGTGGTCCTTGCACTATGTACATCAGACCTGGTGCCTCTCTCCTCAAAACCCACAGACTTCTGTCACATTGAGGGCAGAGTCCACAGCCTTGACCCTCATCTGATTTCCTTCCCCACGTCCCCTCTCCCTGTGCCTCCACGCTCATCCTTTCTTCACCCAGATGTTCCTGCTGGCTCTCTCCCTCACTCCTCAGAGCCACCGCTGTCCCCACTGCCCATGTCTCTATCCCATTGACGTCTTGTTTCTTCTTCATGCTACTTGTCTATGGAGGTCTGGTATGTTTGCTTATTTTTTGCTAGAGCCCCCATGCACGAAATTTGTGCAAGGGTTTTGGCCCTCGCAGCCTTGGCTTTATCCATAAGGTCGACTGGAAGGACGTCCAGAAGGTCATTCGGCTGTTCAGTCTAATTAGCCTGTTACGCATTTATTGTCATAGATTGTCTTTCTCCTCTGCTGGAATCAAAGCTCCAGAGGAGAGGGAGCTGTTCGCTCAGCTCACTGTTGTGTGTACAGTACTTAGAACAGAGCCCGGCTCATGGTAGGCACTCAGTATACTGCCAATGTGTTCACAAGGGCCTGCAGCATGAATGGGCTGAGAGTTAGGGGAAAGCAGTGGTTTTTATCTCATGCCTTCATGAATTGCTTTGCCAGTGCAGCAGTAAATATTTCCCATTTTTTAGACCATGGAAATGAGTGTGGTGAGAAATATAATTAAAGTAGATTTAGACTAGGGAAACACACTGGGAATTTTTTTATTTTTTTTATTTATTTATTTATTTTTAGATATAATTCCCATACCATAAAATTCACCTTTTTAATTTACACAATTCCATGGTTTTTAGCATGGTCACAGAATGATACAAATGTTGCCACTAACCAATGCCAGAACATTTCATCACTCCATAAAGGAAACCCATACCCATTAGCAGTCACTTCCCCTTCCTCTCCACCCTCCCCACAGCCCCTAGTGTCCACAGATTTTTGTGTCTGTGGGTTTTGTCTCTGTGGAATCATGTCCTATGTGACCTTGGTTTATCCTTGTTGCAGCATGCCTCAGTATTTCATTCCTCTTTTTGACCAAAAACTATTCCATTGTATGTCTGTACCGCATTCTGTTACGCATATTTATCAGTTAGTGGATATTTGAACTCCACTCTTTGGAGCCAAGTGGTATTGGAATCCAGCATACAATTCAGGATTCCTTGACCTTAGAGAAGTTCTCCAGTTAAAGTTTGTTTTTTCAAATAAACTTAACCTATCCCGTTACTTCAGCAGTCCTCAGTGTGGTCTATAGACATCTGGGAATACCTATGACATTTTAATGGTCCATGAGGTCAGAATTTCAGTTTCAAATATTTTATAATATTATCAAGACATTATTTATCTTTTTCACTGCTGATACAAAAGCAATGGTGGGGTCAGACTGCTGGAATCTTGGCACCATAGAGATGTCACTGCACTGGCAGTCATTACATTCCTCGTTGCCATGCACCCACATTTCAAAAGCTGTCAAGGCCTGGCTAGTGCTGCTCAGTTGGCTGAGCACCCTCCCATGAACCAGAAGGTCACCGGTTCTAAACCTGGTCAGGTCACATGCCTGGGCTGCAGGTTTGATCCCTCTCTCCCTCTCCCTTCCTCTCTCTCAAAATCAATTAAAACATTCATCATAATCCAAAAAGTCAGTTTAATTTTAACAATACCCTTGAAAGCTTCCTAAAGCCTCATCTGTATTGTTATCCGAGTTCTCTCTTAAGGGTTCAGAGGCCTCCTCCTGTCTCAGAGCTCACAGCATTAAGATTTGCTTGTTCAAACTAACTAAACGATTAGTTTGATTTTAGTTTTTTTTTTTTAATCTCATGGACCCTGAGAATTGGTTAACAAGTCAGGTTTCCTTCATATTGGCCCATGGAAATTTGTCTTCAATTTGTGACCCATATTCATAGCAACTTGGTGAGACGCCTGCAGTACACTTTTCAGCCTTAGTTCTACAATAGCTGCATCGTGTGGCCTTGGTCACCGTTCTTTTGCTCACCACTTCTGAGTCGGTCTATCTTTGAAGGGACCCTGACGGGACCTTGTTTATTTTCTTTTCTAACAAGCGTCTCTTCTGTTCCTATAGGCACTGTGTTTGGAAATGGGAAGACCTCCGACTACCTGCTGTTGGGAAACTTTGTGTACACGGTGAGTGCGGGGCGCTTGCCCGGTTTGCATGGAAAAGAGGGTCCTTCCATAAGTGCTTGTTTTATTTTCAAATTGACATGCCTGCATTTCTGGGTTTAAGGGTCGGTGGCACTTCCCTTTAAGGATGAAATGAGATGTTTTGATTAGTAAAAGATGGTTCCACATCAAGTTATTAAAATGTCGTTTAGGTTCACTGACTTTACAGTACTTTGGTTGCTGTTATTTTCAGTATTCCCTCTTTACCCTTATTCCTCCCCCCATTTGCCCTTGTTCTCTTCCTTATCCCTTTTTCCTCAGTTTTATTTCACGTCCTTGTTAATATTTTTGCTTTTGCTATTCTTGGGTGTTTAAGCAGCAGTTTTTCTAGAATCTCATGATAACTATGATGGGAGAGAAATCTGGACTCTTTGGGGACATTTCATCAGCATCACACTTTCATCACTGCAGATTCTGACCATGCCCAGAGTTTCCTTGACTACTGATAATGTATAAAATTGTATTAATTATACATCCTAATATATAAAAAGCTAGGGGCTGTCATGACTGAAACAACCAGACAGATGACCGAACAGCAGGCTGCGTGGGGTGACCAGGCCAGCAGTGGGGGTGGTTGGGGGCAACCAGGCCAGTGGCAAGGAGGTGGGCAGCAGTTAGGGATGATCAGGCTGGCAGGGGGGTGGGCAGTTAGGAGCAATCAGGCAGGTGGTTAGAAGCAGTTAGGGGTGATCAGGCAGGCAGGCAGGTGAGCAGTTGCAGATTGTGAGAGGGATGTCTGACCGCCAGTTTAGGTCCAATCCTCAGACATCCCCAAGGGATCTCGGACTGGAGAGAGTACAGGCTAGGCTGAGAGGACCCCCCACCCACCCCCATGTACAAATTTTGTATACAATAATAGATAAAGCGCAGTGCTAAGCACAGTTCTTGGTGTTTTATACTCAAACCCCAATGTGACAGGTAAGTTTTCTCAGTCCCAGTTTACAGATGAAGGAAACTCGCCTAGTTCCTTCACTGAAACAGCTAGTAAATGATTGAGTCTTGCGCACACATGGTCTGACTCCAGGCCAAGTCCACTTACCCATTCTGTGATCCTGCGGCAAACACGGGGTGGCTGATTGGACCTCCTTCCCTTTCTTCAGAATTAGTAGCATAGTCACCGGCGAGGAGGGGTGGTAGTTACAGCACATAACAAGCTCTTACATCCTGCTCTGCAGAGTTTTACTGTACGTTCGGTTACACAGTGAGTGTTTAGATTTCTAAATGTCCATTTATATTATTTTTAGAGTGATCTTTAAAATTCAGAAAGTAGAGGGGCCTATGTGTTAAAAATGATATAAAATGAAATGAAAGCAGGCTTTAAACCCCAAGGAACTGCAGACACAGCCTCCATCAGTATTCACAAAGTGTACAAGAAGCAGGCGGGCAGCTCAGGGGCCTCCTGCATGGACTGTAAGGCTGTGGGGGAGGCAGGGGTGCAGTGCTCATGGGTAGTTCTGGTCCTAATGTTCAACCCCCAGCCAATAGCCAGTTCACTGGACTCTTGTTAGACGTACAAGGCCAGGTGGGGATAATGTAGTTCCATCATCTAATTCAGAGATACCCGTTCTTTATAAATCTCACTCTCAGTCATTCTATGAACTATCGTATTTATTTTAAAAAATAACGTTTTCCCTTGTGTTTTAGTTTGTGGTGATCACTGTGTGTTTGAAAGCTGGCTTGGAGACATCATATTGGACATGGGTAAGAGTATCTCTAATCTCAACCTATTGATAGAAATCTCGCATTTACCTATGTGTTATTGCCACCTTTTTTTGTAGTTTGTCATTCTGACTTTATGTATCCTTTAACCCTAGTTCCTTCTACAGGTAGTTAATTAGGAGGGAGGAGAGGGGTCAGGAATGGAGGAGAGAGAACCAGGATTCTTGTTTGAAAATATTGAGTAAAACAAGTTTATTTACCACAAGACTTCTCAGAGCCTTCAATGTATAATTGTATATTGTGAATATCCCAGGAGTAGGGGAGGCTTTTAAATTTATTGACAAGGAATTGTTTGGCAGAAAACAGGGCAAAATGATTCTGAAGGCTAATAATATTAGCAAAAGATTTGCCCTCAGACATTTGTAAATTTGTCCAGTATGGATAAAGCAAGTTCCATTTTAGGTACCTTAGTTTTGAAGTATATTCACATCCAGGTAGACAGATATAGTAAAATAAATAAATAAATAAGTTTGATGCTCAGGGGAAAGATTGGCATAAAAAAAATTGGATTTGATTGTCATAGACAAAAAAAAAAATAGCATTCACACAAATGTCTAACATCTTTCAGTGAGAGCATGCAGAGAGAAAAATCAAGAAGCTTAAAAATGGTAGGGGATTTTAAAAAAATAAAGAGTGCCCTGACCGGTGTGGCTCAGTTGGTTGGGCATTGTCCCATGCACCGAAAGGTTGCCAGTTCGATTCCTAATCAGGGCACATGCCAGGGTTTTGGACTCGATCCCCAGTAGGGGGTGTGCAAAAGGCAGCCGGTCCATGTTTTCTCTCTCTCTTTTTTTTCTCTCTCTCTTTCTCTCTCTCTCTTTCTCTCTCTCTTTTTTCTCCCTTCCTCCCTCCTTCCTTCCCTCCCTCCCTCCTTCCTTCCCTCCCTCCTTTCTTCCTTTCTCTCTAAAAATAAAAATAAATAAAAAATACCAAGAGGAGAGACCCACAAAGGAGGTAGAGAAAGAACAGTTCCAAATGCCAGGACCACAGACATCACAATTGTTGTGGGAAAAGATTACCACTTAACGGAAGATCCAGTTCACACACACACACACACACACACACACGCACACGCACACGCACATGCGCACACACACACATACACACACATTTAGAAATGCCCAGAGATAATACTTTATGGATGTGATAAGAAGTTGGTAAGGGAGTTTGCGAAGGCTTGGTTAGTGTTTGTGTACTCCATCTACCTCTCAGTCTTTTTGACTCCAGCTCCTTTCCTCCGCAGTTCAGCCACGTGGCGATCTGGGGCAGCATCGCCCTCTGGGTGGTGTTCTTCGGGATCTACTCATCGCTGTGGCCCGCCATCCCCATGGCCCCGGACATGTCAGGAGAGGTAATGTGTCCTCGTAACTCATGATCCAACAAACCTTAACCATCACTATTCATGAAAGAGCCTGCGTTGTTTGGCTTGGATTTATATTAAAATGGAGCCTTTGACCATTTAAAAGCTATTTTTAAATTCCTCGGTTGTAATAAATCCTGAGAGGATATTTTAAATGCGGACCTTTTACTTAAATCTGACTGATCCTTTCATAAACATAGTGGGGACAATAAAGCATGGCTGTCAGGAGCGTGAAGCACGGTAAGAATATCCACATTGAAAATTCCATTTTAAAATCAGAACATAAATCCACAGTTACATTTTGGAGGAGAGATTTGGGGAAATGGGCGGACATATGTCTTTGGGACCGTCTATCATTTCTTCTGTTATCTCTTATTCCACGGAGAAGTCCACCGTCGCTAGATTAAATGCACTTTGAGCGTTGTCCTAATAACATCAGTTTGGTTTTCATTTCGAAGGAGCCCGGGCATCTGACATTTCAGCCTTATCAGAGTCCATTTTCAGTTCTGTCTTTCAGTGTCTTTGTTGGCCTGGTAGGAGTTGAGTTATTAGGTGTTCATGGGGGAATGTCACAAGATCCCCTTTCCTTCAGAGGAGATTCCAGCAGTAGGAGGGTTTATGATTTCAATTGCAGGAAATTTGACATAAAATGTATAAAAGAAAATGTGGAAAACATTTCAGGATTTCCTGTGACCTCACAGTAACTTGCAAATCAGGGTAATGTGAGCTCCGTTCCAGGACATTGTTTCCCCATAGTCATGGGAAACCTTTCCAGTGGTTTCCTTAGACGCCTTGCCCCTCAGTAGTGCGTGAGGAACTTTCACTTTTGACAGTCTGGTTTGTAGATCATGTTCATGAAATTTATCTGACAGCATCCTGTGTTTTTTTTTATAAATTAGCAGAACGCAGGCACATTTAAAAAAAAAATTTTTTTTGTGGTTGAATTTATTGGAGAGCCATTCTATACTACTAGAGGCCTGGTGCACAAACTTGTGCAGCAGTGGGGTCCTTCGGCCTGGCCTGCGGGCTGAAACCAATCTCTGGGTCCAGAGTGCGGGTAAAGCAGATTTAGGACTGACAGTGCCCCAGCAGCAACCTAACCCATCACCGATTCCTCGAAGAATTGGGCTCCCTCTTCTACTGGTCAGAGCGTTTGCCCCCTGGTGGTCATTGTGCATCATAGCTACCAGGCGAACGGTCAGGCGATCACTTAGGCTTTTATATATACATATATATATAGACTAGAGGCCTGATGCATAACATTTGTGCAAGGGGCTAGGCCCTTGCAGCCCTGGCTGCCCCAGCTGGCCTTGCTGCCCCGGCTGGCCCTCACAGCCCCTTGCAGTCCCAGCTTCGTCCAGAAGGTCATCTGGATGGTCGTTCTGCTATTCAGTTTAATTAACATGTTGGCTCTTTATTATTATATAGGATTGCATAAAGCCAGACATATGAAAGAGCATATACTTCCAGCAAAAGTGAAGGCTTCTTTTGAAATATGTATCATGAACTAGAAAATTTTCAGCATGTATTTTAAGAACAGAGAAAAGGCTGTGAATGCATCTCCCTCTTACCTTGGTTGCTGAGTCCATTGGTTCTAAAGAGATAAAATCAAAGACTGTATCTGTCTGACAAGGCCACCTGAAAACCCAATTCTATTCTTTGTTTTTTATTTTATGTACTCTGTTTTTTCCCCAAGATCAATTCCAACTTAATATCATTTTCATTAGACTTCATTTTGCCTCGTTTCTTAATATTTTATCTTCAAAATGAATGACAAAAGAGGTTGCGATCCAGATAGTGTAAGTAACTGTAGCCAACAGCTTCAATGACAAGAATGGGGGTTTTGACCACCTACTTCTATGACAAGTGTGACATCTGATTGGCTTTTTGCCAACCAATATAATTCTACCCCTGCCTGGAGAATTCCCAGTACTAACCGAACTCAAAACCTCATCTCATCTCTTGAGGTTTGTGGTGATGCTGTGCTTAATCCGGAGTGAAATGAATGTCAGTACTCCATCACGTCCCTGTTCACTTCACAGACAGTGGGACGTGCTAACAGGGGTTCTTGTTCTTGTTTATTTTATTGCTACTGATACTTTGAATATAATATTTAAATAGCTTTTGCTCCATTGAAACTACGAAAATGGATTAACTCAGCATTGAGCTTGACTAGCTTGTCCAAAACGTAAGTCTGTCTAATTTATTGAAAGAAAAGAATAATAGTTGAAATTTATATAGTACTTTAGGGCTTTAAAAGCATTTTGATATAAATGTGTGCATCTGAGTGAGCCTCACAGCAGCTCCAGAAAAAGAGGATTTCAAGAATGCCACTCAGATTCTCAAGGATAGATAGTCTATATTTACCATTTCTTGGGCACTAGGGCAATGCATCTCAAAAAATGTTTATAGCAATATCAATTTTTAAAAATATGTTCTTATTGATTTTTAGAAAGAGAGGAAGGGAGAAGGATAGAGTGATGGAAACATTGATGAAAGAGAAACACTCTCTATTGGGGTTCGAGCCCACAACCTGAGCATGTGCCCTGACTGAGAAGCAAACCGGTGACCTCTTGGTTCATGGGTCAAAGCTCAACCACTGAGCCACACCAGCCAGGCACAATAATCAATTTTTGAACATACTTATTATATGTAGAGAATCATTTGTTCTGTTACAATCCAGTTAGTTCCATAAAGAAGTCACTTACCCTTAGGTTTATATTTTTCTAATCTTAAAGCTATATTTTAACCTAAAGTATAGTCACATACACATATACTAGTGTGAAAAACTTATGTTCCAATATTTATATCTGTTGTGTGTGTATATATAAATTACTATATATAATTGGCCGGTGATTTTGAATAAAATTTAATGATTCATCTGTTAACTTTCATAGCAAAATACTATTATATTATATATTACATATATTATTATATATTGCATATACATTATAATTGCATAAATCATATTACTATTTTAATATTACATACATAATATACTAGAGGCGCAGCACACGAAATCGCCCGAGACCCAGACGTGCCGGGCACAAATAGCACACCACGCAAGCACTGCCATGCCTCACTGCGCCACTCCTTGTGAGCCCCACCACGCTGCCGCAAGTGGCTCGCAGTTGGTGGGGAGGGATGAAGGGGTGCTCCATGCACCCCCTGGTGACCGGTCATTTGGTGGTTGCAGCCACTGGCCTTTTATAATATAGATTACAATACAATAATAGAATTATATATAATATATGCTAGATATAGTAATATGCATGTTATTATCAGTAAAACCAGGGTAAGTATAAATATTAGCATTCGCCATAGAGCCTTGTGGCTTTCACTCAGGGTCAGACCAAGGGCCATGGCGGGGTTTGAGGGAGGGGGACCACTGCCACCCTCTGACCTGTGTTTCCATAGCAGGACTGTGACTGCTGTGTTCTGAACCACGTAGGAGGCTATGGCGGTAACCCAGAGGAAAGGCAGTGGTGGCAGAGGTGGCAGTGGTCGTGTTCTGGACCTATTTTGAAGGCGGGAGAGCCAATAGGACGCTGCCAGACTGGCTGTGGGGAGTGGGAGAGGTCAGGGCAGACTCCACCATGTTGGCCGGAACATCATGAGCATTTGCTTGTCCCCAGCTCACGTGGTCCCCACAGCAAACGTGTTATTATAACCATTTCAGGGATGCGAAACCTTCAACAGGGACGTTAAGTGCCCCACTGACATCCCACTCATACTAAGTGACAGAGGAGATTTTGACTCGGCTGCCTGGCCCCAGAGCCCGCAGTCTTACCCATGGTGCCGTGCTGCTCTCCACTCACAGCCATTCCGAGGCATCCGTGGTGTGTAACCTGCAAATTAGAAGTGCAGGCCGGTCACTCCCTGCTGGTAGGTGAGGGATTTGCATAGAAGAGGAAATCTGTTTTCTGCAGGCACGGATCTCTCTAGATATTTCCGTGGTCTTGTTCCTCCTCAGCCCACCCTCCACCTCCGAGCCCCAGTGACCATTCCAGAAGGCGTCCACCCCTCCTCAGCATCCGCGGCCTTTGCATGTCTTCCCTCGTTCACTCCAGCCTCCCAGTGCCTGTAAATCGGTGGTCAGTAAACGATCGTTAAATAATTTTTTTTGCTTGCTTGTTTGTTTTGAACAAATGAGAAGCAGTGAGGTAGAGGTGACAGAGAGCCAGATTTCAGCTCACATGGAACATCTTTCTAGCATACAGCAACCCACATGTAACCGTTCCCAGCGTCAGAGCAGGATGCTGGCCTCATTGAGCCAACCCTTTCTGTGCTGCTCAGCCACCAACCACTCTCAGGAATTCCAAGCCTCGTGTGTCTGCACCAGCAATTTCCAACTTTTTTTTTTTTTTTTTTTTTTTTTGTCATCTCGTGGCACGCAGAAACTAGTCCTGGAATTCTGCAGCACACCAAAAAGTAAATTATTGTTGCCGATCTGACAAAAGAAAAATAGGTATAGTTTTGATTGATTGCAGTGAAAATTACGCACATCACACAAGGACATAGTGATCAATATTAACGTGTATCAGGTGCCCTTAGTAATGTATGTAAGAATTTCTGGTACCAAAAATTTACCAATCAGATGCAACCTTATTATGTGATGCAACTGATAAGATGCAACTCTGTGACTAGTAGTTAACCTATACATTTAGGGGTCAAGACAGGGCAAGCATACCAGGCAGCTATTGTGTTGGCTGCTGTCATTTTTTATTTGGCAATCTAAGACAAGCACATCAAACTCACGGCCCTGAAAAGAGGTCAGTGCCTCTGACTAAATAGTCAGATATTGCATGTTTTGTTTTTTTGTTGGTTTTTTTTTTTTTTTACTCTTTAAGGAATTTTTATTAAAGCAAGAATTTTATAATCCAAATTACGTTTCCTTGCTCAGTTATCAATTCTGTTACTTAAAACAGAAGTGACATTCTGAGCTATTCCACAGTAAAGAATTACAAAATTAAAGAAAGGAATGCTTTAAA